AAATACCACAAGTGGATGGATTTAACCAAGAGAAGTTTATTCTTTCACAGTCCAGTAGGCTAGAAGTCCAAATTCAGGGCGTCAGCTCCAGGGGAAGGCTTTCTCCTTCTCTGGCTCTGGGGAAAGGTCCTTATCATCGATTGTCCCCTGGTCAAGGAGCTTCTCAGCACAGGGACCCTGAGTCCAAAGGATGCGTGCTCCTGGCTCTTCTTGCTTGGTGGTAATGAGGTCCCTGTTTCTCTGCTCACTTTTCTCTTTTATATCTCAAAAGAGATTGATTTAAGACACAACCTAATCTTGCAGATTGAGTCCTGCCTCATTAACATCATAGAGGTAGGATTTACAACACATAGGAAAATCACATCGGATGACAAAACGGTGAACAATCACACAATACTGGGAATCATGGCCTACCCAAGTTGACAGATATTTTTGGGGGAGACAATTCAATCTACGACATAGGTATACTGATACATGTAAGCTGGACTTATGAAAAATGTTTTTGTTATAACTAACTGCAGGGATATTTCTATGAAAAATAATAAATTTCTGCTGAAACAGTTCACAAAAGTTTGAGAGATGGTCATTTTGGTGTCACCCCCTCTGACAGTGTCACTCGGTGTGGTCTGTACCCCTCACATCCCCTTAGTGACACATTGATCCATGAAATGAAAATGATACCTACCTTGCAAGGGTTGTCATGAGGAATAAATATACATAACACACCCGGCACAGTGCCTGGAACACAGTCGGTTCTAAATACCGATACTATCAGCTAGTATTTACTGAGTGCTGGCCCCGTTTCTAAGGACATGACATGGACTATCTCATTTTATCTTTACAATAACCCTGTGAGGCAGGTACTGCTATTTATCCTGCTTTTTCCAGATAAGGTGACCAAAATACGAGAATGTTAAATAGCTTCTAAGTGGTGAGCTGGAATTCACACCCTGGTAATCTGACTCGTCTGAGGACCTAACCATTCTACACCCTGCTTTTACTTGCAGATGTTCTTATCCTTGATCAGGGAATTTAATGCGTTAGGCTTCCCCGTTCAGAAGCTAAGAAATGAGAGCCCGTGTTACTTAAATGCCCATTAAATGCAGGGACTGTACTATGCAGTTTCAAAAAGATTTTTCTCATTTCAGTCACAATTTAATCACTGTCTTTTTTTACCTTACAAATTTGGAAACCTTTCTAGAATCCTACAGACAGAAGATGCTTTATTTTCTGGTAAAATAGTGAAGCTCTTGTTTTCCAGGATTCTTTATTGCTATTTTTCCTCCAGATGGCAAATTATCAGTGTTTACAGAAGGAACACTAGTGAGATCCTGGGTTGGCAGATGATACAAAAGATGTGGTACCTTTGCTTAGCAATTCTTATATTAATAAGTTAACAATGAACAAACAATAATTTTTCCAACAAGTTAAAATCCTGTCTCGGTTAAATAGGCATTTTTGAGTATAGGCTGATTTTTTAAAGTTTAATTGGAAGTAGAAAGGGAGGATTAACAGAGATGCTTCAAAGAAAGGCTATTTTAAAGATTTTTAAATATGTCCCTCATAAATTTATAGAGTATAAAATCTTAGAATCGAATAAGACTTAGAAATCGTTTAGTCTATCCTTGGACTCATTTTGCAGGTAAGTCAAAGCAGGCCTCAGGAGGAAATGTCTACCCAAGGGTAGAACTCTGGTTTCTTAGTTACCCAGTCATAACTAATAAATTATTAACTATAAATAACTGTATATAACTCCTATTGGATGGAGTCTTTAGGTAAAAGGCTAAAGAATAGCCACATCAGCATCTTTCTGGGGCAGTTCCAGAATCCCCACTTGTCTGATCCCTATAATCCAGTACAGTGTGCATTTGACACAGAGCTGCATTCATTTTCAATCTCAGCATAATTGGTAGGTAACACTGCAGTTAATTATACCTTGAGAAGCTTTAAAGAGATGTATTTCAAGAATTTACATTTGTCTGAAAAACTGTTTTGTTACAGATATTAAATTCACAGATTTTAAGTGTTCCTTGTTTGGATTAGAAAATGGACAACGTGCTTGTCATGTGTTATGGAACAACTCAGGATCCAAACATAACCGTGGGGTCCTTTTTACTTTTTCACACATCCATGGTTCCTGGAGGCAAAATAGGGGTATTCACTCTAAGGGGTCCAGCAGAGGAAAGAGCATATACCACATGAGACCGCATGGGGTATCTGGGACCCTTCCAGCGCTTGGTATGATGAGAGTACCTTGGTCCCACAGACAGCCCAGTTGAGAGCCCGACCTGCTCAAATGAGCTTGGACTTTAATTTGAAGGCAGTGGTATCGAAGGGTTTAAAAGCCGCGGAGTCACACAAACATCTAAAAAAACCAAAAAACCAACCCCATTGCCATTGAGTTGATTCCAACTCACAGTGACCCTACAGGGCAGAGTAGAACATAGCTGCTTTTAATTATTTTTATCACACAAATAAGATATGAATGCATTCTCATACAAATTCAATACTAAATCTAAAGCCAAAGATTTCCTTCACCCCCCCCGCCCCTTCCATTACTCCGCAGAGATAATCACTATCCTGGTTGGTGTGTATTCTTTTTGACATTAAAAAAAAATGCATTCATTTATGTATATACATGCCTATACATAAGTGAATGCAATTGCTTAGGGTCGGGCACTTCTGAGAGCCAGCTGGCCATGTTTACTTTGCTTGGTGTTCGCAGCATATTTTGTGAGCATTCCAGTTTTTAAGCGAGATTCTAACACAGGGAGGGACTGGTGCTGTGGGAACCATCTGGTAGACCCCAACTACAACAGCTGCAAACCCTCACAGCCACGTCCACAATGTCAGCCTGCGCTGTGGTGTACCCTCGGTCGAAAGTTTGCTGCCTGCAGTCGTGCATTACAGGACAGCTGGAATTCCCAGATATGAAATGTTCCTTGTTCACATCAGAAAATGGACAATGTGCTTGTCATGTGTCATGGAACAACTGAGGATCCAAACATGATCATGGGGTCCTTTTCTAAGGGAAACAATCAAACTACTCATTATTTTGGGGGTTTGATCTTTTAGATTGTAACAAAAGTAAGTATGTAACAAAACATAGCTTTCTACCTGTTGGCATCGGGTCATTTCTGACTCATAAAGACCCTATAGCTATACAGCGATTTTTTTTTTTATTATCAACAGTCAAGTTCAAAATCACCAAACTAACAGACAAAGACTTCTAATATTTATGGGCATAGCCAATCCATAGCTTAGATCTCATTAGGGCTGTTACTAAAGTGATGAGGTATAAGGATGTGAAGTCTAAGGAATACAGTTTAGGAATAAATGTGGATGGATTCATTTATTCATTCATTCATGCATTCATTCATTCAATGAGATTCAGAATTGACTCTACGGCATACAACACTCTAATATACGTACTGGCCTCCCTGTCAGACCGAACCAACGGCCATTTCCTAAGTGACTCTTAGCTTTCTTCCCACTTCTGTGTTGATGTTCCAGTCCCCTTTCTGCTTTATTCTGATTGCAAACACAAGACTTATGACTTTTTGTATTTGTGCAGTGTCTCTTTAAAGCTCTTGTGAATTTTTCTGTTGTTTTAACTGAAATAAATTATTTTATTAGGACCATGTCCTAAGGTACTGGCTGAATCACTGTTCCCTTTGCTCTAGATGGACGCTGCTAGCCCACCTAGGGGACAGAAAACAAATGTAATGAGTGCCCATAATGGGTTTTACATAAAAGCAGTGATTTGCGAGTTATTCCATCCATTAAACTACTGCAAATTTTTGAGAAAAGGCCTCCAATGTTGGAAACATGCTCTATACACCAATGTGGTGCTTATAATAAAAGATTACTTCCTGTGGTTGACTCTCAAATTCTGAAAGAGGTGATTTGGAGAAAATCAAGTGACTGCGTCACCGTGCTCTTGGGAAATACGTTTGGGATTTGTCCAAGTTGTAGACTGCGACCCACAGCTCCCGGGTAGAAAGGACAGAGGTCATGATTAAAGACGCAATTTACTAGTTATCTCCCCTGACCTTAATCCAGTAAACACTCGACAGTGTTAAGGGCACAATCTGAAGAAGACGTTTAAATGGGGAGCAAGCTTTCCCTAAAACAGATTAAGGAGAGGTACTTTCAAAAGGACCTTGTTGCAGGATCCCTAAAGAACTTCAAACAGGGAGATTTACATGTTATTCAACCTTTAATCATACATTATTTCAACGCAAACCTGCAAATATCTTATTGAAACAAGGTGTCGTGACTTTTCCAGGACTTTGCTTGAGAACAATGATCATAAGTACATTAACGCTCTCTACGCCCTTAACGGAAAAGCGATGGCCCTGGAAGCTCCGTGGGAGTACGTTCCCGGAAATCCCCCAGAACATCAGCACAGGGCTGGAAAGGGAGGTGGGGCGCTTGCTATCGCGGAGAAGTATGGAGAGCGTCTGTGGTTATGCCAAGAAAAGAGTATACCAAACCCGGTGCACCAAAACCTGGAACCCAAGGGGATGCCTTCAAACTGGCAGAGGAAACGGCGGGCATCTACTTCTTCCAAGTGGACGCGAACTGAATGGAGAAGCAGGTCCCAGGGGGTCAGGCGCCCTCTTCTTTCTTTCCCACAACTTTCCCCTTGATGCCCAGGTCAGAACAGGAGACCAAGAGCTGACCCAGAGGCAACTCAGACCTTCTGCCCGCGCCTTCCACCACGACGAGCTGCGGCGCCTGATACCCTAGCCTTGGGCGGAATCCCGAGAGCCTCTAAGAGTCTCGGACCCGCGCCTCCAACCCGCCTGGTCACCATGGAGACCGCCGGAGGCACGCAGCGCCGCCCCTTCCTCGTGACGTGGCCCCGCCCCGCCGCCAAACCCGGAAGCTCGAGGCGAGCGCCCGCGGCGCGGCCTGTGCGGGAGGGGGAGCGCGGCGGCCGCGGCGGAGGCCCAGGCTTGCTCGGCCGCGCGCCCCGCCCCTCGACGGCCCGCCTTCCAACGCGCCCCTGCCGCGGTCGGCGCGTGCGGGTCTCGAGCGCTCCTGCCGCGGGCCGTGACCCCCGACTCCCCGCCCAGCCGCCTCCCCGGCCCGAGCCGAGACTGGAGGAAGAGCCGCCTTGCGGAGGGGAAGGGACGTGGGGTGACCACGGCAGGTGAGGGGCGAGCAAGCCTGTGGGAAGCGGGGTGTGGGTAGGTGCTGCGTACAGGGTTATGGAGGTGTGTATGTGTTGTGTGCGCGGCTCCTTCCATCGGTGTGACTTTGTCAGTGTGGCGCCGAGTGGGCCGGTCCGTATGACTGTGCACGTGACCGCAAGCCCTTGTGTGTCTGTGTGTGAGGCCGAGCCTGGATTCCTGGGGGTTGTCGGTGTGTCTGCGGCCCCGCCTTTGTGTGGCTGTCACTAGTGGGCCCGGTTGAGGGTGGGGAGGTTGTGTGTGGGTCGCCTCGGGGGGGCTTCCCCAGGGCATCCTCCTGTAAACCCATCCTGGGGCTACACAGCCTCAGTCAGGAACATTTATTTCGGTAAACTTTTAAGAACTCTGAGCAGAGGCTGGTTATATTGGAGGTTGCACGTCAGCCTGAAAGTGACAGATGTCTGTCATTGCTGAGTACGGGCCAGGTGTGAGGCTTGTGAATGGGGGATAAGGAAAGTAGCAGGACTAGGATGTCTCAGTTTTCCTCTTCTCGTTTTTCCTGGGGAGTTACAAGTTTGCGCTTATGCTGCTGCTTCATTTTCACCTACAACGGGTGGTCCAGCTTCTGTTGGCACATAAATTTCGAAAGACTAAGGAGTAACTTAGTAGCTTTGTCCAAATTTCCAAAAGCTTTTTTACCAAGACAGAGTACAAGATGAGGTGTCAACAGAAGAGATGCTGAGCAGGCAGCTTTTTTCCTCCGTGAAGTTTAGAAAATAATGGAATAGGTTCCTGAAGAAAAGAAGGATAAATCTTCCCTGAAAAGATCTAAAACAAAAGATAGCTATGTGCTGGTGTTGTTAGGTCTGGAGACTTGCATTAAAAAGCCAGTTACATGGCCTAGAGACTCCTGGGTTCTATTGTTTTGTTATTGCTGGTATTAATAATAATCACAGACTGTCTGTAAATAGATCAACTATGGGTTGAGATAAAAGATCGGAAGCTTCCGACTAGATAAGCTGGTTACGAGACTCCTTAAACTTTTGCGAAGGCAGTTTTATCGCCTGTAACCCAGCTAGTTCTGTTGAAATCCTGAGGGACAAGTGCATGTGATCCTCTGCGAACACTCACAACTGGCAGTTTTGTTGCCCAGCAGCATGGGGGCCAGAGAGGGCTGGGTGTCCGTGGCACACCCTAGGACAGATCTCCTTAGGCAAGATTGAGGCTAATCTGTTCGGCCCTTCTCTCACCCGCATGAACAGGTGCTTTTGTATTTTGTGCAGGATTGAACTGTGAGAGATCAAATCAGTGTGAGCTCACGCTGCGCGTTGCTGTGTAATACTGGTCAGTTTGGTCACAGTCTCAGTTAACCTTCTTTGCTGTGTTCAGAACGTACCCCTTTGTGACTTGGAGAAGTAGTCCCCTTTAGTGGATGAGGGAGTCCCTGGGTGGCGCACACGGTTACACACGCAGCTACTAACAGAAAGGTTGGTGGTTTGAATCCACCCAGAGGTGCCTCAGAAGAAAGCCCTGGTGATCTACTTCCGAAAGATCACAGCCATTGAAAACCTTATGGAGGAGCTTCTTTCTGCTTATTGCTGTGGGGAAGAAGCCTGTGACTGAGTGAATTTGTGTGCCTGTGTATGGTGCGTACATACTTGTTTGTATAGTGGTTTGGTTTGTACATTGCAACTGATGCCAAAACTGTGAACAGTAAATTAAAATTTAATTTATTACTCTGAAACACATAGGGTCGCCATGAGTAGGAATTGACTCCACAGCTACTGGTTGGTGTAGCGGATGAAAAAGAGCTAGGAGAACAAACTTCCCTTTTCATACCACTCACAGCTGCTTTGCCTTTTCAGCAGTGAGCTTTTTTTCATGGAGATGTCAGTTGGTCAGCTGTAACATTTGGTATCTCTTTTACCTTTCAAGTACTGCCAAACTAGCACAAATGTTAGAATCACTTGTCTCTGTAAAAATTTAGTCACAGTTGAATGTGATCTCTCCATCCAACAGGGTTAGTTATAAAATGTTATAATACTTAGGTGTCTTTGAATAGTACTGAGGACTGTTGGTAAGGAACTCCTTTCTACCTGTTGCTGTGGGGAAGAAGCCTGGGACTGAGTGACTCTGCGTGCCTGTGTATGATGCATCCACACGTGTTTGTATAGTAGTTTGGTTTGTATGTTGCAGTTGATCCCAAAACTACAGTTTATTTTATCCAAAATTTGGAGAATCTAGAAGCAGACTTTCTGCCTTTAAGTAGCCGAGATGTTTTTATAAATCAATTAGGTAGATTTTAATTGCTAAGTATGTTTTTTATATTGCCTCCTATGGGATAGAGTAATTGTTTCTAGTAATGCATTACTATAAAATGTCTAGTATTTCAAGTCTGTCTGGGTAGAAAAATAACAGGATTAACTATATGTGCTAGTTTTAACTAAAAGTTAAAGAGGGAGACTATAGGTCAGATGGCTTAGATTTTTTGAACATGCTAATATTTGTTAGGATGAAATGGCTATGCAAAGAATGGTTTTCTTTATTTCTGTGTGAGTAATAACCACGTCTGTGCACACTGATTTCCAGCATAAGACTGGCTGATGATTTTCTTGGTACTTCAGAGCAACTTATGATTTTAACAAGCTTTTCTGAACGTACCATCTTAGCCTTGAGAGAAGAGACCATTATTACAATGTCCAAGTTGTAAATCAAATTTAGTATTGGAATGTCTAGATTTACTGTCTCCCTAGGGTTCAATTTAGTAACCCCTCAAGGTTAGAGGTGACAGCAGAGACCACTGAATGCCTTTGTTCCTGGAGGGCTAAGGAGGAAGAGTTCCATTGGATTTAGAATCCCTTACTCCTTGCCAGTCCAGAGGACTCCCTCTAAAACAGCAGTCCAGAGTCAGCCCAGGACTGAAGTCCTGGAGTCTTGAACTCGTCTTAGCCCAGCTAGGGAATCCAGGCTCCCGCTTCGAAACAGATGACTAGGGTGGAAGTTCCTCATTTATCAAGAAGAATCCGCAACAGGGAACTCCTGATTCCCGGTTCCTGCTATAACACAGATGCCTGAGCAAAGAAGGACAGTCTTTAAACTGAAGGTGTTCAACCCGTCCCAAGCTCATACGTTTCCCAGGGTTAGAAGGAACTTAAAATCGCCTAGTTCGGTCGTCTTAGTCACTAAATAATGCCTGCCGTGTGCCAGGCACTGTTCTAGGCTTTGGGGGTATAGTAGTGAACAAGTCATACACGAGAAGACAAGCCCAAGAGGGCCGGTGATTTATCCAAGGTCCCAGAGCTAGAAGAGCCAGAAATCACTAATCTCACAACAAAAGACCACACTTTTTTTACTAAAGGCAAGTATTTTGTTTTGTCGTTGGGTATAGTCCCGCCAGTCTATTCTGGTTTCTTATCGTAGAGCTTTCAAAGGGTATTATATAACTTCTAACTGCATCAATATGAACAGCAAGTTTTCCTTTATTTTGCATTAACTCCCGCGAGGTTATGTCCCACCAGAGGTAGGTTTACGGCATATTGTGAACCTCTGAGGAAGCAAGCTTACATTGTCTTTCTCTAAAGTGGACTATTCCCCATGATTCTATCAGAGAGGAACATCTTTATTAAAATGATTCGTAAAATATTGTCAGAGGTAGATGATGGTACTGCAGTTCTGAATTATTTAACTAGGACAGGCAGTGTGGTGTCAGGGAAGGACTGGCCTGGGCCTGGGCCTAGCTCTGCCGTAGCCCTGGGATCTCCGGTAAGTGACTTACGTTTTCCAGCCAGCTTCCTCTGCTGGAGGAGCTAGAGGGCTTAGAATACTGATCTCTAAGGGCCCTTTCAGCTCTTAAGATTATAGGATTTCACCCCATTGTTATCTGTCGTTTAAGTGTGTACCGACAAGGTAAAATAGCCCATTTGCTCGGTTTTACTCTTAAAAGTATTGTTGGTATAGCTAGACCAGACTCTACACTTCGTTCTGATGTAAACGTGAATTGTTGACTTGAACCACCTTGTGCTTTTATTTCAGGATTGACCTCCATTTCAGCTAATCATGGGAGAGATTAAAGTCTCTCCTGATTATAACTGGTTTAGAAGTACAGTTCCCCTCAAAAAGGTATGTTCGGTTTTACGGCACCTCTTGCTTGCAGCGTCTCGTGTGTGTTCCACGTGTGATTGAGGCGTTCTGCCTTAGCGGTGCGTGAGAGCCGGCTGTTGCCCAGTGCCAGGACTCTGGGTTGCCGAGTGGGAAGCTCACCGCTGCCTTGTCAAGCGCAGCACGCTTTTGAGACGTATTCAAGATCATGAACAGGTGTAACTCTACTCATTGTTTTATAATTGCTTTTCCATATTCAAGCCAGCAGGTATATGTGTACTGCTCTCAACAGCAACTGTACAGTAAGTTGCAGTCAGATTCTGTGATAAAGCACTTTTCTGTTGCTCGCATTTAAGATTTACAGTGAGTTATATTACGCATACCCTGTTTGCAACGACGTGCTCACTCTGCCATAGTAGTTGTCTAGAAGCCTTGTTTGCCGCGGCTGTCCCAGTACCCTGAACACTTGTTTTGAAGTTTAACGTCTGACTCGGAGTCCCAAATTAATCCCAACTGTTACGGGATCCCACTAGACAAAGGCTGTTTAAGCCACAGGGTAAAATGTTCGTGGGTTCCTCGCAGAAATATTAGAATACTATGATCTTACGATTTTTATCTCTGTTATGGTTATTTTGTCAGGATAGACAGCTGCAGAAATAAATGCAGGTTTGCGTTAATCACAACATTACTTTCCATCTTGGCAAGTACAGGCAGATACGTCCTATATGCCTGGCATTGTTGTAGGAACTGCCCAGATATCTCATTTAATTCTTGCAACAGTTTAACAAGGTGTGTAGTGGTGAGCTCATTTCATAGAAAAGAAAACAGAGATTCATACAGATGAATTAATGTGTGTAATTTTTGTTTTCTTTTCTGCCTTTTGGTGGTATTTGAAAAAGTTCATTAACTGCCTGAACATTTGCCAGTGCAGATCAACGTGTATCCTGCTTCTATGCTTAAAAATCTAAGGCCTTGTAGAGTCTGGATTTGAAATCAGGTTAACCTGGTGTCAAAGTGAGACACACTTGGCCTGTTTACCAAAGGGAACCTCCCTTCCTTCTTGACCGCAGCCTATGCTCAAAGGGCAGTGGGCCCAAGGGTTCTTCTACCCTGTGCCATCCCCATAAGTAACTGCTCTTCATGGGCTCATTCCCTCAGCAAGCCAATCACAAGACCCCAAACAATCCACGCTACCTAAATATTCTTAGAAGTCATTCTAGGAAATAATTTCATTAGTGTAATTTTCTCTAGTTGTCAGTCAGAATAAGTTTGCTTAAAGATTTGTGGTACTAGATTCTAAAATATCAAACAGATATTATCAGTGTCTCCTAAAGGAGTTCTTACAAAATTGCCGTGTGTGGAACTTCGAGAAAGTTGAAGTGGTGAGCGAGTAGTTATGGCTGATACTCAGAGCATGCTGTTTTTGTTATTTTTCTTCCAAATTGGGATGTTGAAATGATTTCCTAGAAAACTTTAAAGATTTGAACTTCTTGGATCATATTATTGTAAGAGTAATTACAAGAGTAACAGTGTTAAAAGCCACTAAGAGATTTTTTTTACCGCCATCAGAGCAAAAAGAAGCATGAAAAGCAAGAATGGAAGTAGCAAAACGCATAGGCAGAAGCATGAGTGTGAGATATTGTTGTCACATTCCTGGCCTGGGGAAGTCCAAAAGGGAATTGTTAGGCCCTTCTGGACTTTGCCTCGCCCCATTTGTCTTTTCCTGGTGACGCCAGTGACACCCCAGAGTCCACAGGACTGCCAGCTGGAAGGTCTCTGAAAAAAGAGCCTGGAGGGCCTTGAATTTTTTAAATATCAAAGTAGGATACGTATTGATTGGCATTGGCAAATGTTCAAGCAGTTAGTGTACTTTTTGAAACATCACTAAAAGGCAGCCAAAGAAAACAAAAATTATACCATCATGCAGTTCAAATCCACCAGTCGCTCCATGGAAACCCTCCGGGGCAGTTTTACTCTGTCCTATTAGGGTCGCTGTGAGTTGGAATCGACTCGACAGCAGTGGGTTTGGTTTTGGCTTTTGGAAGGTATAAAGCAGTTCTGTATGATATGTTAGCACTAAAGAAAGACGAGACCAAAGCAGCTTACATACTTGCTAGTCTGGTGTCTGGTTTGGAGGCCTCAGTACCCAGGTTACCTTGTAACAAGCAAGACAGCGGTATTAAAATTGTCCGTGAAATTATAGTGTAAAATAACCATATAAAAGCCAGATGCATAAGAGTTTCATTTTTGTCTCCTTACAACTTTCCCCCCAGATTATCGTAGATGATGACGACAGTAAAATCTGGTCGCTCTATGATGCAGGCCCCAGAAGTATCAGGTGTCCTCTCATATTTCTGCCCCCCGTGAGTGGGACTGCGGATGTATTTTTCCGGCAGATTTTGGCTTTGACTGGATGGGGTTACCGGGTTATAGCTGTAAGTATTATTGATTCGACATTGAAATTCAGGTCCATATTATGTGTTTTTTGTGCTTCTGTTTCTGATTGGCTGTGCTAATTGGCATGACCTTTATTGAGGTATAAGATATTATTTTCGTATTTTGAAATGTGAAATGAAACCGTTTTTTTTTTTTTAAATAATATTTTATTGTGTTTTTGGTGAAGGTTTACATGGCAGTTTAGATTCCCATTCAACAATTTCCACACAGATTGTTCAATGACATTGGTTACATTCTTCACAATGTGTGAACTTTCTCACTATTTCCCTTCTGGTCGTTCCATTTTGAAATGAAACTTTTTGAAGGAAAGTGGTCCACGTACACAGACACACAAGGGGAACAAACCTTTTTTGGACGCCTGCTCTACACCCAGCGTTTCTGTGCATTATCTCCTGTAACTCTTCTCACAGCCCAGAACACTGGGAAGTATTGTCCTCGTTTATAGATTAAGAAACTGGGGTCCAGGTAATGTTAGTGATCGCCATGGGTCACCTAGCCAGAAAGTGGTGGTAGGAGGAGCTGAACTCAGTCTTCTTAGTCTCTCATCTCCATTTCCACCCCTCGCTTCATTACACCACTGCTTCCCGGAAATGTTAGACAACAGAAGGAGCTTCTGACATACAGGTGGCTGAAAGCTTGCTTTATGTAAACCGTTCACATTTGAGATGAGGTTCATTAATTAGCCTGTATCCTTAGCATTTGGTTAAGAAGCTTTTTGTTTCTAATATTTTACAGCTGAGTTTGGTCTAAAGCTAGCTTTCAAGTTTTAGGTGAAAGTTCAGGTGCAAATCAGTTTCTCATTCAAGAATTTATACGCAAATTGTTTTGTGACATTGGTTGCAATCCCTGCAGTGCAGCAGCATTCTCCCCCTTTCCACCCCAGGCTCCACGTGTCCGTTTGTCCAGGTTTCCTGTCCCTGCTTGCCTTCTCGGCTTTGCATTTGGGCGGGTGTTGCGCATTAGGTCTCCTATACTTGATTGAACTCAGAAGCATGTTTCTCATGTGTGTTATTGTTTGTTTTATGGGCCTATCTAATCTTTGGCTGAAAAGTAGGCTTCCAGAGTGGCTTCAGTTCTGAGTTAGCAGGGTGTCCAGGGGCCATAGTTCCGGTGGTCCCTCCAGTCTCTGTCAGACCAGTAAGTCTGGTTTTTATGTGTGTGTGTGTGTGTGTGTGTGTGTGGATTTGAATCTTGTTGTTTTTCTCCCACTCTGTCCGGAACCCTCTATTGTGATCCCTGTCAGAGTGGTCGGCGGTGGTAGCCGGGCACCATGTATTTCTTCTGGGCTCAGGCTGGTGGAGGCTGTGGTTCACGTGGTCCATTAGTCCTTTGGACTGATATTTTCCTTGCACCTTTGGTTTTCTTCATTCTCCTTTGCTCTGAACATGATGAGACCAGTAGATGTATTTTAGATGGCTGCTTACAAGCTTTTAAGACCCCACGTGCTAAAAGTAGGATGTAGAACATTTTCTTTATGAACGACGTTATGCCAGTTGACCTAGATGTCTCCCAAGACCATGGTCCGCAGCCCTCAGCCCCGGTAACTGGTTCCTTCAAGGTGTTTGGATGTGTCTAGGAAGCTTCTATGGCTTTGCCTTGGTCAAGTTGTGCTAACTTTCCCTATATTGTGTGTTGTCTTCCCTTTCACCAAAGTTAACACTTGTCTACTATCTAGTTAGTGATTTCCCTTCCCCATCGCTCCCTTCCCTCTAACTGTCAAAGATTTTTTTTTTCTGTGTGTAAACCTTTTCTTGAGTTTTTATAATAGTGGTCTCATACAATATTTGTCCTTTTGTGACTGACTTATTTCACTCAGCATAATACCTTCCAGATTCTTCCATGTTATGTTTCACAGATTCATCATTATTCTTTGTCATCGTATAGTATTCCATGGTGTGTATGTACCATAATTTGTTTATCCATTTATCTGTTGACGGGCACCTAGGTTGTTCACTGATCGTTCTTGAATCTCCTCTGGGAGAAGGATGTGGGCGGGGAAGGCACTGTTGCTTGTGACTGATTTTTCTTTTTTTTTTTTTTTTTTTGCTTGCCTCGGCTGTGTAAACAATCAGGGTTGGTCTCCTAACTTCCAGAAAGAAGAGGGACTCTTCTTTAGTGCTTTGGAGCTGGCAGTTGTTTCTGGGACCATGAATGTTAAAGTGTAAATGGTACTCGTGGTGGGAGTACTGCTGTTATGTATTTTATTTGCTGTCTAAAGGAGAGAAATGGGGGTCAGATCTCTGTGCTCTCAGAAGGTAATCGAAAATTCTGCTGGAGTTACCACCAGCTGGAGTCACACAAAACAAATCCAGTTCCTCTTCCTCCTTACTCACTTGAGAAAACGGTTATCACCAGCACCACCTGCTACCTTCTCGAGTCTTTTCTTCTCTAGCTGAATGTCTCTAGCTTCTTCACCTGTGCCTCATGTGACGTGTGAGTCTCTGAAACATCAGCCTCCCTTTTTCTAGGTTGTCAGTCACCCCTCTTCAAGTAGAGTAGGTACCCGAGGAGAACAGGGTGGTCACCACCCCCATTCTAGCCCTCTGCCCTCAGTTCCTTGTTTGGTGGCCACTGTTGATCAGCCAGGAGAGGGAACCTGAACAGCTCCCAGGTGTCTGTCTTTCCCGCTTGAGAGCACTGTGCTGACTGACAATACTGCAGTGTGTGTATCACTCCAGACCAGCAGGTCACAATAGCCTTGTCTTCTATCTGGGTATTTCTTTGCCATTAATCTTCTTGCTGTGGGCATTCCCTATTTCATCAGCTTGTTAATGAATCAAGAAAAGGCCAGTGAGCCTTGGTGGCACAGTGGTTAAGAGCTCAGGCTGCTAACCAAAAGATTGGCAGTTCGAATCCACCAGCCCCTCCTTGGCAACCCTACGGGGCAGTTCTATAGGATCACTATGGGTCGGAATCAACTTGACAGCAGTGGGTTTGGTTTTTTGGTTATTTATAATACAGTGAAGGAGCCCTGGTGGCACAGTGGTTAAAGCACTTGGCTGCTAACTGAAAGGTTGGCAGTTTGAACCCACCAGCGCTCCACAGCAGAAAGATGTGGTAGTCTGCTTCCATAAAGATTTACAGCCTTGGGCCAGTTCTACTCTGTCCTGTAGGGTTGCTATGAATCGGAATTGACTCGTCCCCAGCTTACAAATGAAATCCGTTCCTGAGTCTTTAAGTCGAATTTGTGGGTAAGCCGGGAACAGGTGCATGCGGGTCTTACTTAGCTTTGCATGTACTTTAGTGCAAGAAAGGGGCTCTGGTGGCGCAGTGGTTAAAGCATTCGACTGCTAACCAAGAGGTCTGTGGTTCGGAACCACCAGCTGCTCTATAGGAGAAAGATGTGGCAGTGTACTGCCCTATGGGGTCACTCTGAGTTGGAATCAATTTGACAGCAGTGGGAGCAGGTTAGCGCAAGAAAAGGCTTGAAGCCTTTTCAGTGATTTAAAAGCTGCACGTGCAGCAAGTGAAGGTGATTATGGTGAAGAATTTGTTGCTAGTAGGGGTTGGTTCAGTCTTTCAAAGTGAGGGCAAATTTACATAACATTAAAGGGCAAGCATGAGCTTTCGTAACCCAGGGACTGCCTGTACAGTGAAACCTGGGAGAACCGAAACTCGACGGGACGGCCTTGTTTTTCACGGTCTTGCAAGTTTCTGCCTTTGACAGGGTGCAGTCTTACCACTTTTTTCTCTGTTAGTGGAAAATATCTGAGTTTTCCTTCTATGAGAGGTTTCCACCTTACACAGATCACGGCTCTCACGTGTTTTACTGTACAGTATCATAGCCCAGGATATTGACGTGAATACAATCCATTGGTTCAGCTTTATTTGTATTAATTTGTGTGTGTCTTAAGTTCTATACAATTTTATCGTCTGTGTAAGGCACGGCTGTTTTTAAATTAAAGCCTTCATAAGAATATCATCCCTTTTATGCTGTCATCTGACTCATATTCTAACATTTTCGGTTAAGAGAGTCTGTTCTCCATCCTTTCTCAGAATGGTGGAAGTCTTATCCAAAAATGGAATCTTATAGTGAAAGTAACATATGACATCAAATCCAAAATTCGCTTGTAATTTACATGGTGGTATCTATTCTAGTGACTTGGCAAAGACAAAATGGATCTAAACGCTGAAAACAACTAGCCTGTTTTGTATAAAGAGAGGGAAATTCTTAAGCGACAAGCCTGAGTCTGCTAGAAATGAGTTAGTGACTTGTATTCCTTTTTCCTCGTCATCACCAACATTGATAGGCTACTTAAGGTCAAGCACCATACTTCTTTATCACAAAGAAGTATAAGAAATCAGATAGAATGACTAAGCCAGTTAAAAGACGTGGCTCAATTTTACGAACACTCCCAAAGAGATGCAACCCAAGGGAGAGGGAGTTCTCCTTAGAACAGATCCCCCCTCCCCGCGGTTCTCTGGAGCATAATTTAGAATGAAATTAGATTTAAGGAAAAAAAGTATTTTCTTACTTGGATGAGTTTTGCTGTATACACCCTTGAACCTCAGAATGTCCCAGCTATTTGGAAAGGAAATTGACGTGAACTGAGATTGTCATTCATGTAATACCACTAGAGGGTGTTTACTTAGCTATTCTTTTTTTTTAATGCATCTGTTAGGTAAAATGAATTAAGAGGTTTAGGAAGACGTGAGAGCTTATTTTCATATATTTTGAATAAGGAGCAGAGCTTGAGCAAATGAGAAATGCTGTTATGGGAGTCCTAAAGTTTTCAGATCTGTGTGCGTTGCATTTTACGTTTACGGTTTTAAAAGGAGATAACAAATTATTATTATTGCAGTTACAGTACCCAGTTTATTGGGACCATCTTGAATTCTGTGATGGATTCAGAAAACTTTTAGACCATCTACAATTGGATAAAGTGAGTACCTGAAAACTAATTATTTATGGTGATACTCATGCAGCATTTACCTTGTAAAGCCTGGTGCTTTCTTTTTTCTTAACAGCTTTATTGAAATATAGTCCACATATAGTATAAAGTGTACAATTCAGTGGTTTTTCGTATATTCACAGAGTTGTGAAACTATCACCACAGTCAACTTTAGGACATTTTCATCATCCCAAAAAGAAACCCTGTACCCATTAGCAGTTGCTCACCATTTCCCCCCAACACTTCCCAGCCCTAGGCAACCACTAATCTACTTTCTGTTTCTATAGCTTTGCCTATTCTGGACATCTCATATACATTCCATTTATCATTCCATTTATATGAAATTCTGTGTGGTCTTTTGTGACTGGCTTGTTCTGCTTAGTGTAATGTCTTCAAGATTCATCCATATGGTACCCTATATCAGTACTTCATTCTTTTTTATGGCTGAGTAATAATCCATTGTTTGGAAATATCACATTTTGTTTATTTATTCATCAGTTATGGACCTTTGAGTTGTTTCCACTTTTTGGCTATTATGAATAATGCTGCTGTGAACGTTGGTGTACAGATTTTTTTGTGGATGTATGTTTTCATTTCTCTTGAGTATATACCTAGGAGTGGAATTACTGGATGATAGTTTTCAGAAGAAGATGTGGAACAAGGGATATTGCTGATGTCAGATGGATCTTGGCTGAAAGCAGAGGATACCAGGGAAATGTTTACCTGTGTTTTATTGACTACACAAAGGCATTCCACTGTGTGGATCATAACAAATTATGGATAACATTGTGAAGAATGGGAATTCCAGAACACTTAATTGTGCTCACGCAGAACCTGTACATAGACCAAAGCAGTTGTTCGAACAGAACAAGGGGATACTGCATGGTTTAAAATTGGAAAAATGTGCACCAGGGTTGTATCCTTTCACCATACTTATTCTGTCTGTATGCTGAGCATATAATCTGAGAAGCTGGACTATATGAAGAGGAATGTGGCATCAGGATTGGAGGAAGACCCATTAACAACCTGTAATATGCAGATGATACAACTTTACTTGCTGAAAGCGAAGAGGACTTGAAGCACTTATTGATGAAGATCAAAGACTACAGCCTTCAGTATGGATTACACCTCAACATAAAGAAAACAAAAATCCTCAGAACTGGACCAATAAGCAACATCATGATAAATGGAGAAAAGAGTGAAGTTGTCAAGGATTTCATTTTATAATAAACACCCATCAAAGCAGCAGTCAAGAAATCAAATAACGTATTGCATTGGGCAAATCTGCTGCAAAAGACCTCGTTAAAGTGTTCAGAAGCAAAGATGTTACTTTGAGGACTAAGGTGTGCCTGACCCAAGCCATGGTATTTTCAGTCACCTCATATGCATACAAAAGCTGGACAGTGAATGAGGAAGACCAAAGAAGAATTGATGCCTTTGAATTATGGTGCTGGGAAGAATATTGTATATGTCATGGACTGCCAGAAGAACCAACAAATCTGTCTTGGAAGAAGTACAGCCAGAATGCTCCTTAGAAGCAAGGATAGTGAGACTTAATCTTGCTTACTTTGGACATGTCATCAGGAGGGACCAGTCCCTGGAGAAGGACATCACACTTGGTAAAGTAGAGGGTCAGCGAAAAAGAGGAAGACCGTCAATGAGATGGATTGACAGTGGCTGCAACAACGGGTTCAAACATAGCAGTGATTGTGAGGGTGGCCCAGGACCGGCCACTGTTTCATTCTGTTGTACATGGGGTCGCCATGAGTGGGAACTGACTTGACGGCATCTAACAAGTTTTCCTAAGTAAACTACTAAGTGGTGTCATTTTCTATAATGCAATCTGTGAATAATGTTTTTTTCACGTGTATAATTTGGATGTACAGTTGTAGTATTTTCTTGACAGGGTGTATAAATTGCATTTAAATACAGTATTTCCTAATTTCTAACTGCTGTAGATGTTTCAGTCTTTTGGCTAGTGATAATGTATTTTGTGGTTGGTGACAAAAGAATTTGTTTTCAGTATCCATGTTCAGGATTGATCAGTGTCTTAGGATCTACCTTGTGTTTGTTTATAATTAGGTTCATCTTTTTGGGGCTTCTTTGGGAGGCTTTTTGGCCCAGAAGTTTGCTGAATACACTCACAAGTCTCCCCGAGTCCACTCCCTCATCCTCTGTAATTCCTTCAGTGACACCTCTATCTTTAACCAAACATGGACTGCAAACAGGTAAGAAAGTAAACATTAGGCCAAAATTTTTATTATTTTTGTTCAGTAGAATTTGGGAAATGTTGGATTTTGGAGTTTCTTGGTTCGGAGGAAGGAAAGGAGGGGGGCAGTGGTGGCTCAGTAGTAGGATTTTTGCCTTCCATGCAGGAGACCCAGGTTCGATTCCCAGCCAAGGCACCTCACGTGCAGCCACCACCATTTGTCACTGGAGGCTTGTATGTTGCTTTGATGCTGAATAGGTTTCAGCAGAGCTTCCAGACTAAGAGGGGCTAGGAGGAAAGGCCTGGTGATCTACTTCCAAAAATCAGCCGCTGAAAACCCTATGGATCCCAGTGGTCTTACCCGTAACCGATCATGGCGATGGCATGGGATTGGGCAGCACTTCATTCTGCTGTGCCTGGGCTTGTCATGAGCTGGGGGCTGACATGATAGCAGCCAGCAGCAACAAGGGAGGAAGGGGTTGTATCTGTTTCTGTCTTCTGAAACGGCCCTGGCTTTTACGATTGGGAACAATTAACTTTTCAAAAAAAAAAATATTGGATGAGCTCTAAATTAATCTATTTCTATTCCTCTAAATTATTTTTATTCTTGCATAATATCAGAATGTCTGCCTTGGTAAAGACGTTCATATGCTTTTACAGTTTCTCTTCAGTGCATATCTAATACTGCGTTCTGTTCGCTTTGTGTCATTGACTGATAGTTAACATTAGGCATTTGGCTTTTCCCAGTTTTTTCACCACGTTCTACTATAAGCATCTTTGTACAAATCACTTTTTTTCTTCTCTTTCTGAGTTATTTCCTTGGGATATGTTCCCAAAATGGAAAGACCGGAGCATTCAGGCAGCAGGTGTTCTGCCCCTCGGCAATGCGTATGTTAGCCTGCTCTTCAGAAGGGTGGAAATGCTTTGTGGTGCATCCAGTGGGGGCCTGTTTCCTTGGAGCCATCCCATAGATGGGATCATTTCAGTTAGTTTGATAGGTTATCTAATGGTACCTTAAAGCTGGTTTAATATACATTTCGTTCATTGCTGGCAAGGCTAGACTCTGCCCTAAAAAAAAGCCCAGTGACAATCTTGGTGATCAGTTTGATTTTCAAATAAAGTTACAGGTAAACATTGCTTTCATGGTTTTCACAGTGGACTTTAGTTTGTGCTCTGATACCTTCAGAACTTTTCCGACGTTATCTCAGAAGTTTACTCGCGTTCTCACAGCCATTTCTTGTCCTCCTCAGCTACAAACAGTTCATGTCCCGATGAGCACTTAGAGCTCGTTGATTCTTTTTGGTGATTTTGATTGTTGCCATTTTGGTTGTCAGAATACTAAAGACTGCCCCCACTTTGTGCTCTTGCATATCAGCTACTTTCTATTCAATGTCCGAGTGCCTACTGTGTGCCACACACTGAGGAGAGAGCTTCGAGCAAGCCCTGGTCCTCCCCTTCCAGAGCCAACTTAGGCATCATGGCCTTTAGTAAGTGAGAAGGCGGTGGGAGCGGGTGAGAACTTGGAAAGTTAGCTGGAAGATTGCGGACCGGTCCTCGCCGAGGAGCCCAACTTCCAGCCAGGCTGTTCCACTAAGAACATGCATCAGAGGGCACTCTGCAACCTTTTTTTTTTTTTTTTTTAAATAATTTATTTTATTTTTGTTGTTGAGAATATACACACCAGACCATAACACCAGTTCAACAATTTCTGCGTGTACAATTCAGTGACATTGATTACATTCTTCACATTATACACCCATGCTCACTTTCCTTTTCCAAATTATTCCTCCCCCGTGAACATAAACTCACTGCCCCCTAAGTTTCTTATCTACTGTTTCGAGTTGCAGTTGTCAGTTTGATCCCATAGAGGTAATTCTTTAAAAGGCACAGTGCTCAAGGCAGAGATTGTTTACTAATTACGCCAAGCTATTATCAGTCTAAGGAGCCCTGGTGGCGTAGTGGTTAAGTGTTTGGCTGTTGACCAAAACTTTGGCCATTCAAACCCACCAGCTCTCCAAGGGAGAAAGATGTGGCAATCTGCTTCTGTAAAGATTACAGCCTTGGAACCTTATGGGGCAGTTCTGCTCTGTCCTGGAGGGTCGTTGTGAGTAGGAATCAACTCAATGGCAACGGGAATTTTTTTTTTTTTTTTTTGTATTGTCAGTCTATACCTTTTATAAGTAATTTTCAGCACAGGGTTAGAGAAATTTTGCTTATCCTACATAATGGCTCTCAACATTTGAAATTAATAGAATAAATAGCAACTAAAGATCACACATAGAAATCCATAAAGATCAAATTGCCTTGTATTAGTCCAGTTGAATCTAATAGTAGCAAACTTTGGGAGATGCAGTAACTCTCTCATTTTACTATTTTGAAGTCTCTTTTGAACATCAGTTAATCAAAAGGTGATATCATTTAAGATCTATCTATATGGGATCAAACTGACAGCAGCAACTCAAAAGGGTAGATAGGAAGCTTAGAGGGTAGTAAGTCTATGTTAACAGGGGAGCAACAACCCTGAAAAGGAGGGGGAGAATCGTTGCCCAACTCAAAGAATGTAGTCTGTGCCACTGAATTGTACATATAGAAACTGTCGATTTGGTGAACATTCTGCTTGTATATTCTCAACAACAAAAATTATATAAAAGAAAAAAAGGTGACTAAAAAGATACTTACACTAACATCTAATAAATGTATATTTTAAAACTTAAAAAGAAAAAACAGTGGTATCAGCCTGAAGGAAGCAGTATTCCTCTTAGTTTAACCACTGGGAATAGGCCACTTTAAAAAGAAGAGTCTTGGAATCATCAGAATGTCGGCCTTGATAAGCGTATTTTGAAATGTTGCTTATAATTATTCCACATCCTAAAATAAAAGTTTAATCATATTACATCCTAATTCTTTAGGAGCTTGGAAACTGGGTGTAAAAACGAGACGCTGATTGCAAGCCTCCAGCGAGCCTGAGTCTGGAGCAGCCTTGTGCATTCCTGCCACGCTTGCAAGAGCAGTTTTGAGATGGTTTGAGGCCTTGCTCCCCACCACCTACAGAGTAGGGTTATAGACGTTTCAGACAATTGAATAAAAAAATTAGATGCTGAGCTCTTTGAGGGAAGGGACTGGGTCCTTTTATCTCTAGATCCTAAGGACCTAGCTAAGACAAGACTTCATTATTGAATGGATGTTTGCTATTTATGTGTGCTAGTCTCAGAAGTTTAAATTAGCAGGTCTTTGTTTTACAGCTTTTGGCTGATGCCGGCATTTATGCTAAAAAAAATACTCCTTGGAAACTTTTCTTCTGGCCCGGTGGACCCTATGATGGCTAACGCTATTGATTTCATGGTGGACAGGGTAAGGATCACGTGGCTCTGGGCTAGGGACACCTTGTGCTGACAGTATTCGTGTCTGCTTGGTGCCTGAGGCTGTAGTTATTTCACCAAGTATGCATTCGAGGTGTTCGTTAAGTAGTCTTCCATATTAACTTGAATACATCCCAGCTGATCAGGACTTGGCTACATTAGTGCTTCCCAAACCAGCTGTTCATCAGAATTGCTTAGGGGAGTTTTTAAAAATACAGCTCCTAAGGCCTCAACTTTATACCCTCTGAAGTGGAATTCCTGAGCAGGGGGTCTCAAAATCTGTATTTTTACCCCACGTACCACCCCTAACCCCAGGGCGGTTCTGTGTTCCAGATCTGTAGACCTGCGTTTAGGAACAACTCGGCTAGATGATTTCTGAGGTCTCTTCAGCTCTAAGGTTGTGTATGTGTTTATCTGTCACCTTTGAGCTGCAGGAGTTGGTTTGCTGCCCACAGGCACCTGGTTGAAGCAGGCATTTCAGGTTGAGGGCTTTGAAGTTCAGATTCCATTTGTGGAAACTTAACCAATGTGCCCGGAATGGAAAAATGCTGCCCCTAGTTCACGGCCGTCAGATACACTAGGTTTCCACATTGTTAGCCTTTGTGACCCCACCACACCTATTGCCATCTTTACAAGCACGAATGTTGGCTGTGGGCTTTATGTGAATATGAAAAACAAAATTAACTCAAAAACTTTACCTGTGTTTCTTCCTGCAGTTGGAAAGTTTAGGTCAGAGTGAACTGGCTTCAAGACTTACCCTGAATTGTCAAAATTCTTATGTGGAACCTCATAAAATTCGGGACATCCCTGTGACCATTATGGATGTAAGCTTCTCTTTTAATTAAAATAGCTACGTTACCTTTTTAAATGTATATGACAATATTCTCCTTATAATTATTTTATAATTCTCAGTGTGCTTCTTCAAATGCTGCTTTTGCTTTCTCCCCTTGCCCTCTGCTGTCTTGTTCCAATATAATCTGCTTATGGCTTATCCTAGATTTTCTGGTCAGGAATAACACCAATGAAATCAAAATAAATTAGTACAAAAGTGGTAGTCCTTACCCATTGGGGGTATTTTTGACAAATACTGCACTTTAGTTACTACACATCCGGGTAGCAACCAGAAGATGCCTCATACTGGCAGAGAATTGAGAATTCCACAATGTACTAATTAGTGCAAAAGCTGGCTTCTAACTTTCAAATTGCCTTTTTTTTTTTTTTTTAAGTGTAGAGTTTTTCTTTGCTTTTCTTTTTCTTTTTTTTTAAATTGTGCTTTAGGTGAAAGTTTACAGTTCAAGTTAGTTTCTGCAAAAATTTATACACACATTGTTATGTCACCCTGGTTGCTCTCCCTATAATGTAACAGCACACTCCTCCTTCCTACGCTGGATTTCCCGTGTCCATTCAACCAACTCCTGTCCCTTTTTGCCTTCTCATCTCGCCTCCAGACAGGAGCTGCCCGTTTAGTGTCATGTATCTACTTGAGCTAAGAAGCACTCTCTTCACAAGTATCATTTTATGTCTTACAGTCGAGTCTAATCTATGTCTGAAGAGTTGGCTTCGGGCATGGTTTCAGTTCTGGGCTAACAGAGAGTCTGGGGGCCATGTCTTCTGGGGTCCCTCCAGTCTCGGTCGGGTGTTTTTACTAGAATTTGGGTTCTGCACCCCACCTTTCTCCTGCTCCATCTGGAACTGTCTGTTGTGTTCCCTGTCAGGGCGGCCGTTGGTGGTAGCCGGGCACCACCCTGTTGTTCTGGCTCAGGCTGATGGAGTCTCTGGTTTTTGTGTCCCTTTCTGTCTCTTGGGCTAATACTTTCCTTGTGACTTTGGTATTCTTCATTCTTCTTTGCTCCAGGTAGGTTGGGACCAATTGATGCATCTTAGATGGCCTCTCGCTAGCTTTTAAGACCCCAGACACCAGTCATCGAAGTGGGATGCAGAACATTTTCTTAATAAACTTTGTTATGCCAGTTGACCTAGATGTCCCCTGAAAGCATGGTCCCCAGACTCCCGCCCCTGCTGCTCGGTCCCTTGAAGTGTTTGCTTGTAGGCAGGAAACTTCTTAGCTTTTGGTTTAGTCCAGTTGTTCCTCTATAGTGTGTGTTGTCCTTCCCTTCACTAAGATACTTCTTGTCTACTATCTAGTTAGTGAATGCCCCTCTCCCTTCCTCCCCACCCTCATGACCATCAAAGAATGTTTTCTTCTGTGTTTAAACCTTTTCTTGAGTTCTTGTAATAGTGGTCTCATACAGTGTTTGTCCTTTTGCTACTGACTAAATTCACTCAGCATAATGCCTTCCAGATTCCTTCATGTTATGAGATGTTTCACGGATTCATCGTTGTTCTTTATTGTTGGGTAGTATTCCATTGTGTGAATATACCGTAATTTGTTTATCCGTTCGCCCGTTGATGGGCACCTAGGTTGTTTCCATCTTTTTGCTGTCGTCACCAATGCTGCAATGAACATGGGTATGCATATATCTATTCGTGTGATGGCACTTATTTCTCTAGGATATATTCCAAGGAGCGGGATTGCTGGATCATATGGTACTTCTATTTCTAGCTTTTCAAGGAAGCGCCAAATTGATTTCCAAAGTGATTGTACCATTTTATATTCCCACTAACAGTGTATAAGTGTTCCAGTCTCTCTACAACCTCTCCAACACTTATTATTTTGTGTTTTTTGGATTAATGCTAGTCTTGCTGGGGTGAGATGGTATCTCATTGTAGTTTTGATTTGCGTTTCTCTAATGGCTAATGATCGTGAGCATTTCCTCATGTATCTGTTATCCGCCTGAATGTCTTCTTTGGTGAAGTGCCTGTTCATATCCTTTGCCAATTTTTTAATTGGGTTATTTGTCTTTTTGTTGTTGAGATTTTGCAGTATCTTGTAGATTTTTTAGAGATTCAGACGCTGATCGGATTTGTCGTAGCCAAAAATTTTTTCCCAGTCTGTAGGTTGTCTTTTTATTCTTTTGGTAAAGTCTTTTGATGAGCGTAAGTGTTTGATTTTTAGGCGCTCCCAGTTATCTAGTTTCTTTTCTGGTGTTTCTGTATTGTTACGTATGGTTTGTATTCTGTTTATGCCATATATTAAGGATCCTAGTGTTGTCCCTATTTTTTTCTTCTGTGATCTTTATCGTTTTAGATTTTATATTTAGGTCTTTGATTCATTTTGCATTAGTTTTTGTGCATGGTGTGAGATATGGGTCTTGTTTCATTTTTTTGCAGATGGATATCCAGTTATACCAGCACCATTTGTTAGAGACTGTCTTTTCCCCGGTTAACAGACTTTGGGCATTTGTCAAATGTCAGCTGCTTATAGGTGGATGAATTTACGTCTGGATTCTCAATTCTGTTCCATTGGTCTATGTGTCTGTTGTTGTACCAGTACTAGGCTGTTTTGACTACCACAGCGGCAGTATAATACGTTCTAAAATCTGGTAGTGTGAGGCCTCCCACTTTGTCCTTCTTCTTCAGTAATGCTTTTCTTATCCAGGGCCTCTTGCCTTTCCATACGAAGTTGGTGATTTATTTCTCCATCTCGTTAAAAAATGCCATTGGAATTTAGATCGGGATTGCATCGTATCTGTAGATCACTTTGGGTAGAATAGACATTTTCACAATGTTGAGTCTTCCTATCTGTGAGCAAGGTATGTCTTTCAACTTACGTAGGTCTCTTCTGGTTTCTTGAAGTAGTGTCTTGTAGTTTTCTTTGTATAGGTCTTTTACATCTCTGATTAGATTTATTGCGAAGTATTTTATCTTCTTGGGGGCTTTTGTAAATGGTATTGATTTAGTGATTTCCTATTTGAAGTTCTCTTTGTTGGTGTAAAGGAATCCAACTGATTTTTGTATGTTTATCTCATACCTTGATACTTTGCTGAAATCTTCTATTAGTTCCATTGTGGATTCTTTGGGGTTTTCTATGTATAAGATCATATCATCTGCAAATAAAGATACTTTTACTTCTTCCTTACCAATTTGGATGCCCTTTATTTCTTTTTCTAGCCTAATTGCTCTGGCTAGGACCTCCAGCACAATGCTGAATA